CGAAGAAAGCAGATCTAAACAACGATTACAAGTTGGTTTTGGAACTGGTCATCGCTTGCCTCGAGTGTGGAAGTGGAGGTCATGCCGATGACATCACCCAGGAGAGAGCCTTCATCATCAACTCTCTCATTACCAAAACTAAGGTAAACTGGGCTGCACACTTTTTCAAATCCATTTCAAAACATCTAGGAAAGCACAATCAGAAGTATCTCTGTCAAGGTCTGTATATTGGACATATTTTGGAATCTATGGGCGCTGCAGTTAAAGGGAAAAAGTATGAAGCCAGATACTAGCTATACTACTTATCCTCCAAAGGAGAAAACAGAGCTAGCGCTAGTGCCACTGCAGAAGAAAGCTCATCAGACAATGCTCCACTCATCAATTTCGCAAAGACTACCAAGAGAAAGCATGTAGTGTCTCCCTCTCCCAGTGCTGACGCACCACAAAATCTTGCTCCAATAAATCTTGAAGAAGAAGAAGAATCCTCTGACCAAGGAGAACTTCAAAGGAAGAAGAAGAGGAAGATCAACTCTCCATCAACATCTGGAAATGTCAATCCGGATAAGTTGAAGGAGAAGGAACCTGCTGAGGAAACCTCTGCTCAAAACCGGAGCCCTCAACAACTTGAAGAAGAAATTCCTCAAGTCCAAAGCCTTCCAACCTCATCACCTCAACTTCAAAGAGATGATGCAGATAACCAATTCTGGCAGCTCTACTATGGTTGGAAAGCCTGGAAAGTTGGAAATTCAGCAGAGCAACTTTTGAATTGGGACCAACAACTGAAGAATGAGAAGATCATCAAAAAGTGCTTAGGAATACCAGTCAACCACAACTGTGAACAAATTTTGGATGACTACTGGGTATGGCAAAGGAATCCTGAAGACTTGCATCTGGAATACCTGGCCAACACACCAGTTTCAGACTTTGAAGCAGATGATGAAGATCCTGCAGTCTTCAAGTCAGTCTTCTCAAAAGACACAGAAGATCAAGTGGTTTTCACTTCTGAAGCACAAGGTGTTTTGGAAGCAGCAGCTGAAGATTCCCAAACACTTCCAGAAACCTCACATGTTACTGAAATGGTTCTAACTGAAGTTGTAGAAGAGAAGGCAACCTCACCCCCACAAGAACAGAACCAGGAAACAACAGAAGAAGAAGAATTTCAGCCACTAATCCAATCTCAAGTTTTGGAGATTCTCACCACTCCTTCTAAGATCTCCAATCCTGCTGAAATTGAGATCCCGGAAAATTCAGCAGAAATTCCGGAATAGTTAGCTCTTCCAGAAACAATGGAGCAAGCTGTTGAAGCACAAAGGAATTCAGGAGAAGCTGAAAAGGAAACTCAAATGGCAGAACTAGAGGTCTCTCAAACTCCAGTAGCCATTTTTGAAGAAGAGAATACAGCTGAAGAAAGAGACTCCCTCTCTAGGGATATATCAAATTTTGCGCTTGAAGCAGAAGGAGAGTCTGAAAGAACACTGAAGGTTACTGATGAAGAAGATGTACAAGAAGATGCTGAATCTCTTCCTATGCAACTCTTCCAAAGAACACCACCATCTCATCAGGTAACCAATTTTCATTTCCATAGCTCTTCCACCCCTACTCTTCCGGATGAGATACCGGAAATCTGGACAAACAAGGTCCAAGGGCTGATTGAATCAGCCCTAGCATCTCAACATGCCTCCTTTAGCCAAGAGATAGAGCAAATGGAAGTCAGGCACACCCAGCTGATAGAGAAATCTAAAGGAAAACACAGCGCAGATCTCAAAGAAATAAGCAAATCAGTGCACAAGACTCTGGAGATTATCTCTCTATTGAGTGAAACTGTGAGCAACACAATGGAAATATATGCCTCTGACAGTCAACTTCAATTCAAAGAGATCAACAAAGTCAAAGAGCAAATAGCGAGTGTCACAGTTAGTCTCCAAAAACAGATGTCCCTTCTCCAAATGGACATCAGATCAGCTCTAGCAGTAGCTTCTGCAAATCAGGTAGTGACCAAAGACTACTTGAAGGTGATCATTGACAATCAAAAGGAAGCATACAAGCTGTTCAGACTTATTGGCGCAAATTCTGGAAACCGCAAGATGGAAGTAATTCTCCAACAACACAGTCCATCTCCAATACCACAGCTCCCTATTGCAGTCAAAGAAGGAGAAGTATCTTATATTCCTTCTCATCTGAACTTGACAAATCTAATCCTTGAAGCACA